AACATCAAAAGCACCCATGTGAAAAAACACGTTGGTGACAGTTTATACCCATCGCTAAGAGGTTTATGATGGCGTCGAAGGGTAAAAAGCGATGAAAAGGCGGCAAAATAAAGGATGGCAGTTCCGAAGCAATCGCAATTACACAGTTCCCCAAAAGGCTGCATTCACTTTTTGAGACCAGGGAACAGGAGAACCACTGAATCTATCGTAGGGCTATACGCTATACGATTCTCCCGCGAAAAAAAAATAGATGCTGCCTTAGTTTTGGAAAGAGCGATACCCGCACAAGTTAACGAAGCTTTCTTCGTAGTTTAGCGAGCGTCAACATGCACCCAATGCTCGAATAGCTGGTTTTCCCGTTCACTCAACTCATGCTGAAGGGGTTCCTGGCGCCATCCAAGTTCTTAGGCAACGACACACACGAAAACTCTAAGCATTTGAAACGAGAAATATCCCCTCAATCTCTCACTGCTCGATTAATGACGGTCCTCAGCCTAACTTCCATCCTAGCCACTCCCTCTCCTCACCGCCGATCTAAGGTATGCCTCATGGTGAGACTCAGGCAGACCCTTAGCCAAACTTTGACAAAGCGCACAAGACAGATAAGATTCAAAAAAGGAAACTTTAAAAAAGTAAAGGATTCGAAATTGAAAAGAAAAATTGAAAAAAATGAGAAATCAGACCAATGAAAACAACTGAGATCAAAATTTCCACCCACCTTTGACTGTATGTGCATCCTTTACTGTACGATTAGCCATCTGTGAAAAAGCACAATGACAAGAAGGGAAGGGGAAACTATTACTCATACTTTCACAATCATATTTGAAGACAAGTAATTATGTGCAATGAAGCAGTTATCACAATTCGAACACTGAGAATTAATGTTTTATTATGTTTTTTTTCTTCCGTGAATAACAATAACAGGTTTCCACAACACAATAAATACAAGCCATTTGACAGTTGAGTGAATCAGTAGGCTTTCTTCCTGACGATTTCAGGCCGCCAGACGATGGGATGAGATTCCTCTGTCTGAAAGTGAAAAAAATTCAAATTTAGAGGTTTCGTGAGCCCCATGTGCATAATGAATAAAAAAGGTGAAGAACAGGATAATAATTTCAGGCCATCCTTAAAGAATACTTGATCATTCACTTCCACGTAGGTGCGACTAGACGGGTCGAGCAGAGCATTACCACTTCAAGAGAATTATTTTTGACCGAGAATCCCCGCATTTTTTTATTGTTATAAAACAACTTAGCAATTCCAGAACAACGCTATTTCTAGTAAATTTCGAATACGGAACATCAAGACCTCCGAAGATTTCAAACGGACATAATTTTCTGGAACTACATTCCTTACCGAAATCTGTACGCGAAAGTATCTCTCCGTTCCAGAACGTTGCTCCGAATAGTTCACCACTGTGAACATGTTTTTGTGTGATAACTCTGCTTTTGCGCCGCAGTACGTTTTGTCGATATCGGGCTACCGGCCTCATCACGTTTGAACGTCGTGTGGTGCCGAAGCAGTGCGCCACAAATAGCCATTGAGGCTTGAGAGGTCAAAGTGGCCCCCGGTAGCGTAAGTGGTAACGCAACTGCCCGGTAAGCAGAAGATGCGGGTTCGAGTCCCGCCCGTGGTCCGACTTTTGCCCACAACTCAGCATTCTTGTGATAACTTGTGACATGAGACGCAGCGACCTGGCCCCAAAGCGCCTGCACCAAACGAACTGATCTTCGCGCTCAGTGAAGCAAAAATCCTCACCGACAGATTTTTGTCCAAATCTACTCGTAGTGACGAATTTATGGAAATCCGGCATGAAACCCTTACAGTGGGGTCATGAAAGGTCTATATGTACTGCCCCTCAGAAGCAAACTAATCAGTGATGACTTACCGCTTCTTCGTCTTCCTTATACATTTTTATTGTTTTGTCGGCTTCTGCTGTTATGAGACGCAATCCTGTCTTATCATAGCACAAAGCATAGATACCCGCTTCAGAATCAATGGATCCTGGCTGCGCCTTTGTTTGGATCCTCTGAAAAACTCCCACTGTTTACATTTCTATGAAAAGAAAGGAAAAATGATGCAAAAAGGCAGGAGCTTACCTGGAAACAAAAGCCTGACCGCCAGTCCCAGAAACACATAGAACCGTTATCACCACCAGATACAAGAACACCATCTTCATTACAAACCAAAGAGTTTACAATTGCATTATGGCCAGAAAGATTCTGAAACGAAAAAAGGTATTTTTTTACCAAAGTAGGTAGTAGTAGAAAAGTAGGTTTAGTAGAAAAACAGTCCAAAATGTTTACATCCATTTTATTAGTTACACCATGCAATCACGCCTCATGATACATCATTGACGAGGGAGAGGCTGAAGCCGAGTCCAAAACTACGACCCTTCTCACCGTGGGATACGAAAAGAACCTCGCAATAGCGGAAAACTTATGGACTGACGAATAGAAGAAACCGTGGGAAGGATTATAACGAATTGATCTATTCTCACAAGTCAGTTCTACAAACTTCAATTATCGATAAGTTTCCAATCATTTTCGCACTTTCGACAATTCTTCACTATCGCAAGGTACGAACGCGGCCATTCGCGGAATGGAGACCCCTCTTTTGCGTGAAGAATTTGTTTCAAGAATTTGTAGCGCAGACCTGCTGTGAACATGTATTAAGGAAAGTGCAAAGAGCATGCCGTGAGATGCGATATCCTGTCCTCGTAAAATTTTTCAACACCTGACTTTTCGGACTTTTTGCGTATCTCTATTGGATTTGGGTCCAAAAAAATAAATTCGAATCGGCTACAGACGAAGGAGACATCAACTACTTGAGGAAAGCCAGTGGCTTAGGCTCGATTTACAACAAAAGGCTCTTTCGTGTATCTTCTTATAAAGTACACGAAGAGATGACTCACCTGCATAAACTCTCCATGCGGGAATTTCCACTGCTTAATATTATCAGGTGATGCTGATGCAAACATAAACAGGCGTGGGTGAAGTACAAGAGACCTTACTGACTTCTGAAAAGATGAATGTTTACTTCTATCGTTACCTTCTAGGTACAAGAAAACAGTGTCGACTGACCTTATGGTGCGTAAGCGTACAAATCGATCGCCCAGCGGCCAAGTCCCAAAGACGAACCGTGGAATCGTGCGATGACGTTACCACCTATAACTGAGTTTTTGTAGAATAAAGCGTAGGAGATGTCCAAATATAATTGCTCAGTCGTGGCATAAAGTCAGGGATGGTTTGTTTGCATCAAAAAGTCGCGTTCACACTTGGCGATTGGGGAGAATTCGCGATTCAGCAGATTAAGTTTGTTGCCACACATTTTCTTGATTAGCTCGCGCGCATTTTCCGAACTGATATGTACACTCTAGTTCGCTGCGGACAGTTGGGCGTGTCAGCAGTATGAGTGTGTCACCCCGTCAAAGCCGTTCTCTGCCTTCTTGTTGAAGCGACAAAAAGTGGTAGAAAACGAGTAATACGAACAATATGATACAGTCATATCATTTGCTCGCTTTAACATCTGTGGGAATATGATACAGTCATATCATTTGCTCGCTTTAACAACTGGTGGAGAACGGGTTTGGCACCGCGCCAAACTCATCCCGCCTGACACGCCCAACCGTCCGCAGCGAACTACACTATACCTATACTTTCATCTGTGCACTTTCACATAAGTCACCGATTCTCAGAAAACGCAAATCATCCGCAAGGTATGACTCCCGTCTGAGCAAAATAATAAAGCTGAAAACTAGTAAACCTGAGGATCAGCAGCTTGAGATACGACATCGGAGACCGTATTCGTGTGCCCTGCCAAACAGTGTACTTGAGCTTTTGTACGCATATCCCAGACCTGAAGTAAACACCCATTATTCTCACGTCACTTATATTTATAACGCTTTATCATTAGCCTCAATAATGGGTTTAACCCCACATCGATAATTTTGCCTTATTTGCCTAATTTTCGTATTTGACCGCGAGGGAGGGAGGGGGTCGTATTTGGTCTGAGAAAATTTTTTGATAGTTGATTTCTCTTGTTTCACGGACGCTATAAAGGGGGGGGTCGTATTTGGTCGTTGTTGGGAGAGGGACTGCCAAAGATCTATACAACTACTATTTCCGATAGTTGAAAATGATAGTTAATCCTGACGACCTCCCCCCTCCGCTCGACAGCAAAATTTTGGGGAAAACCAGAAATTTTTCGGGAAAAAATGGAAAAAGTGGTAGGAAGTTAGGGAAAATCTAGGAAAGTGGTAGGTAGCGCTTGGAGGAGGGGTGGGGCGTACCTGAAGATGGATGGTCGTATTTTTCAGAAATTGACCACAACGCGATATCATTCGCTGGCCAAGTGGATACTATGGACAAACTTTGGGAGGAGCCAGGAAAGTTCCGAAGAGCGGGATAGTAAAGATGTTAAATAGAGCTAACTGCTAAATAGTAAGGAACAGCACAGCACAGAAAAGGAAGTTCAAACAAGAGAAACAGTCCTGAATACCAACCCTAGTTGTAGAATCTCTGGAGCAGCTCAAAAGAATATCCAGCGTCGGGTGAATACTCAATGCTTGCACAGCACTAAGATGACCATGATAATGTCGAATCACCTTGTTGTACTCAAGATCCCAACATTTCACCTAAACTGGAAATCAGTATTTCTCCTACAAATGGAAGGTTCTTAATCAGTAACCTGTTTATCCTCTCCTCCAGAGAACAGAAATGGGTGTCGAGTGGAAATCTTAACTGCTCTTACTGCACTTATATGTCCAGTCAAGGAAAGGCGAAGCTTTCCGGTGGCTAAATCCCATATCTAAAAAGAAGCATAAAGCGGAAAATAAGTGAAGGTAAAAAGACAAACATATTGTGAAAATCTCTTACCTTGATGATACGATCACCTCCACCACTAGCAAACCATTGATTTTGCGGTTCTACATCCACAGCTCGCACCCATCCCGTGTGTCCTGAACAGCTCCCCCATGCATAGTAAAAAAAAAGTCCATTTCATTGTGAAATTTGGAAACACCTACCTGAGATCACTCTATAGAGTTTCCACGGCGCATGCCATTTTGGCTTGACCATCATGGGAGCGCGAAGGGGTAGCAGTGATCGAGTAGTGTTGTCTTCTGCCTTGCCACCACCTGATCCTACCGGGAGGGTAGTAAGAACTTGCCTGAAATGTCACATGAGGGGTAGTGTCAAAAGTATAGCATGAAAATAAGCTTAGCAGACCCTTGGCCGGAGCTAGTTTGTACAGGCTTTCCAGTTCCATCGGTGACAGCCAATGGCCTGGAGGGCAACTAGAAAAGCCAGCGGCATCTCATGCGATTTTAAACGAGGCCGTATTTCCATATTGGTTGGCCAGATTAGCGAGGATACCAAGAATGTACTACCGTATTTTAGAACTTCCCCAGAAAAAGATTGGACAAGCACTATATTCCAACCCTTTTGGATTCGGTCAGATTCAGACATTTTTTCCCGAATAGATTTTGCTAGCATGCTTCCGGGATATCGCTGATCGCCTGGAACGGAAGTCGGTGCCGAAATTTTCTGAGTGTTGGCGCCAAGACCGCAAGAACTTTTGCTTCAAGCGGGCCCTACCATAATCGAGGGGCCAAATTAAAGCACGTTCAAATCTCCTCAGAAGAGAAATTTCTTCGATATCTGGCACATGATCTCTGAAGAGCCAGCCAGCATAGGGTGAACTTATCAAATAAGTCCTTTCTTTCTGTTACTGTCGCTTACTCAGAACCTTATCCTTTCCAAAAATACCATTCGCGTTGACCTCATTTGTCCTGCCTTGCGTCGCTCCCCAATCTCTTTGCTTCCTTGAAGTGGTGTGTGATCAAACAATTCAGGACAAAGCATCGCAACTCTAAAGCATGATAACGACAAGGTAGTCTATTGTCTCCTATCTCTCGATGTCCAGATTAGCCGGCGTATAATGAGGTCTGTATACTATGCGACATTGGAGAATCGGGAAACAGCGGGAACGGGAGAACCAAAGAACTTAGATATCGATCTGGAGAATCGGTATTAAAGACGTCGCGAAAGACACTTATCGCGTAGTAACTGCTCTCCGACCCTCCATATGGGGGTCAGAGCGCCCTTTCCGAGTGCTACAGTTTAGCCAGCTTGTGCGGCCCCCATTTCTTCACAATAACAAGGTATGAACGGGACTCAGTTCAGCGGTCTGGTCCATACCCTGAGAAACACTTTGTTCACTTCGCCCCTAAATGAGTTCATGTAGGAGCCGTAGGTTTTCGTTACACATCAAAGTAATCCTTGGACTAGTAAACTGCGCAAACTTTACGCAAAAACAGGTACCTCGCTTTCCAGCGAGTTCTTCATCAAGCTTATCCCCTCTGTTACTTATCTTTTGTTATGAGCACTACTATGAACTTGAATCACTCCAAATATAAAAGAGAACAATAACGAAACGGTAGTCAGCAAAAAAAAACATTCGCACCTTCAGAAGCTCCTGTTCCCGCCGTTTTTTAGCCTCTTCAACGTGTCGTATCACAGAACTGTATTCACATCTCTTCTTGAGGGATCGAACGAGATTCAACCTAAAAAATGATCGTAGTATATGCCTGCTAATGTCCCCATATCCAACAGACTGCATACTCTTTTTCAGCGAGTTCAGGAAATACTGTATAGTCATTACTGAACATATCATGTGTTCTTTTCATAGATCGAAATACCAAGTTTAACAATGTTTTCTGCATTTGGTCTGGTTGCTGGATACCTGTAAAAGGATTACTATAAACGTTGCTGGAAATGGTTTCTCTATTTTCAGTGAAAAGAAGAATCAAGTAAACTAGTTTGCACCTCCTTCGCCATCATCCGCGTTTTTATCAGCATTACTTTCGTCATTGTTGCTTGGTGCAGGTTGGATATCGGCGGACATAGTAACCTAGAAACCAACACCTTTGAAAACAAACTCGCCGCTAAATCTACAACAGGAAAAATTCAAGGAAAACACAACTTCACACCAAACAAACATATATGGGATCGTTTCTGGACCATTAATGGTGTCCATGGAACAATAAACAATAAATGGAATATCATTTCGAAGCAAGCAGTTGAGGTGAAGCCTACAGAAATTCCGCGAATGACCAACAACAAAAAGTGTTGCAGAAACGAGCGTTCGAAAAGATTCTGACGACAGCTTAAAAGGTTTGTACGCAACCACGAACGAAGCGCCGCATCGACGGCTATTTATTTTTCGACTGTGCCCACGATTCGAATCATGGCTTGTTGTTTCTGAATGCGTGTATATTTAAAATTTTCATAATTGCAATGTACATTGGTTGAATATCTTGCTTTTTATTCCTCACTCACTTTACTTTACACTGTTTTATAAAAAATCTCTCCAAAAACTAATTGAACCCAACTCCTGGGTAGTTCCCGAGTAGTTCGTGTGAGGGATGTTGATAACTGAAGACCTTTGGGTGACAGTGCAATTGAGGAGGCATGCGCCTCTATGTTCGTTTCCCTCCCATAAGCTTGTACTTTTTACTTGTTAGGAGAGCTCAAATGATCACTGCTAAATCGTCGCGAGGACACGCAGAGCAGAGGTGAAGATGCCACAGCGTTACCCTATCCTCCTCAACTTACCTTGGCGCGTTTCCTTCCTTTAGTACCAACGAGCTTATTGAATGAAAGTTCTTACTGCTGACCTGATGTCTCTAAGGCTGCAGCTATACTTTTCGTCAGCGTTTTCTTCGGAAAGGAAGCAAAGGTACCGATCTAGCGTTTTGGAGGGGGGACGCATATGAGCGAAAAGGACAGTAAAACGCCGACTAGAAGTATAAACACAGTCATTCCGTCTGTCCTCTTTGGATGCCTAAACATGGAGGTTCAAAAATTGGTGGTCTCTACCTGGTGTCACGTTCATACTTCGCGAATCGGCCGACTTAGTCGCGCAACTGTGCCTCACCGCTACTCACCGCTAGCCATCGTACCGCTGTAATGGTCGGCAAAAGTTTGAAAAAGTGCAACACGGTCGACGCCTTACAACGCAAAAACCTCCTAGCGTTGCAATGGAGTGTGAAGAGAACAACG